AGAAAAACAATATTGATAAAGGGAAAAGTCTTCAAAACGCATTCTGAAATCTGCAAATCACGTTCGAAATCTTTGAAGGCAATATTGATAAAGGAGAAAATCTTCGAAACGCGTTCTGAAATCTACAAATCATGTCCAAAATCTTGAAGGCTTGGAAATCAAGGATTATCTTTGAAAGATCGGAAATCAAGGATTTTGATTTGTTATGCTGTTAGCATCAAAACTCCTCCTGATCAAAAGTTATGATTGTTTGAAATTGACTTGTCATTTAAGGCGAGGGCGGGAGCGCTTGCTCTTATGACACTCAAAGGTTTCCATATAGGCATTTGCTATTTGTTCTACATCACCCTCTCGCATGCCCTCTTTAAGCGACACGAGACCCCTCGTCTTAAGATTTCTCTGCCTTGAGGACCTTTCATTAGCAGCACAATTTGAAGGTTTGAACGAGGTATTCGTCAAAAACACATCGGAAATAAGAGTGTCATTTCTCGATAAGGTAGACTTTTCCTATAGAAAAATCACGAGATGGTGTTTCTGGAGACGGATGACAAATCTCTTTTGCCAATCTTGGGCGATCTGGGGTGGAAGTTTTGAAAAATCTTTAATCCTTGAGAAACTTCGTACTTGCCCATGGCTCGCATGAGTTTTATGCATGAAACTTTTTCGAGTTTATTAAAGCTGATTCTTTACTCTCGCGTATCCAACTTATATGGAATATAGAATTTTCAGAGTTGTAGAAGCGACAATAGTCATGAAATGTTAAGTCACTTTTGTTCGAGTTAAACTATATTTGATCGAAGTTTCATAACTATAATATTGTATTTTACTACATGTTGTATTTGATCGAATCAAAGTGATTTTATTCTCTATGGTGTATTATACTATAATTGTGTAAGTCAATTTTTCTCCATTTTTTTTCTGTAAATGTATCACATCACATATTATGTATAATAGAGCCAATTTTACGTGCAATTACAATTGTAATTACTTTGTCATTATTGTAGAGTACTAAATAGATGGTAATATTTCGACCCAAAAAAAATAGATGGTAATATATCTTTTTTTTTTGTCAGAATGGTAATATCTCTAACTATGTTAATATTTCAGAAGAAAAATTCTCTTAAATTTTTTTAAAGTTTCTGAGTTTCATAGGTCAGGTTTTCTACTTATTGTCAACAGATTGTCTTCTAAACTTTTACTATTTCTTGGCAGAACTCTTAAATTTTCATTTGGAGAAGAAAAGACTACCTTCATTAAAATTTAACGCGTTTAATGTGCAAAAATCGCTTTTAGTATGATATGTTAGATATTAGATCAGATGTCCTAACACCAAAATGGCCTAGTGATGGTGGTCATATAATTTCTCTCACAAGTGTGAGATGGGATTGGCTCATTCACCAAGGATTCATTCGAGAGGACTAATTAATACATGAAACAATTTGAAGGCGAAGAAACGAAACAACTGGGCCTTCTAAGGGGAAAAGGAAATTCCAGTAAAAAAAGGGAAAAATGAAAAAGATTTTGTTACAATGTCCGAGAGGCACTTGTTAAATATAATAAAGAGATTTGGTCATTTTCAAAGCATCGTTTTTCTCGTCCTAGCCACAATCAATACATTGAAAAATAAAAGTCTTTCTTTATTTAGTATTATGGCACTCGTTAACGAGACTTGAACGAAAATGGTAGATTTTTCCTACAAGTTTAGGTGAGTTCAGCAGACCTATGGGAAAGAGTTGATGACTTAAGTCAGTCTTCATGGGCGCAACTCTAGCCACAACCATCCTAAATGTGTTTTCTTTTCATTGCGACTTCCTCAGCAATGTATAGCTTAGTCAGTTTACAAATCTCATCTCACGATTCATTAGAATGCCCAATTACTCTTTTTACTCATAAAACAATCTAAACATTCTGAGATTAAAAGGCTAAAAGCTAACAAAAATGATGTGAAAATCAAGGGGAAACATACTAGAGGAGGATTACCTGAAGAAAAAGATTAATTAAGGAATGGCAATAGACAATATTATTTTATATTTTATTGCATAGTAGTCATTACACTTCATGATTTAACAACATTTCCAAATCCACAATGCCAAACCGAGTACAATGACGCCCACCCCATCTATAGAAAAATTAGTCCCTTTGATATTGGCAAAAACCCTAATTAACATGCTAAAGCTATTTTATAAACTCTCCTTTCATCTTACTTGTAATTCTCAAGTAAGGCATTTCTATACAACAGAAAGTAGGAGATCAAAGAGAAGAGCACCGGAAGAATAAACAACATCCGCTTGTTCACTACGAGCTGGAATTCCTCGGACCCTTCTTCGAAAATGGTCTCTAACCTGGGAGAACTGGACGATCTCCGATGAGACAAGAGAAGCGTCGGCGCGACCTCGCCCCAGTCGTTCATATATCTCGTATCGTTCGCCATATCGAAAACCTCTCCGTCTCTTGGCCTAATAATGAATATCTGAGATGAGGAAGAACAGGAGTTCCTATGGTTAAACAAGAGATGGAGATGGAGATGGAGAACTTACCAAAAGATGAAAAATTAGCAGCCATTTATATCAATCGGAGAAGTGGCTAATTAGAGCAAAGGAGGACAACGAGTTCAACATCGAAATGTTCTGGGAGTTGGTTGGCAAAGGATCTGGCCATGTCTATTTTAAGAGAACAAAAACAAGAACAACTTCCTATTTCTTTTCCTTTCTAAAGATGCACAAAGTTGGGTGGCGTTGGACATCCTGGTCAACGATGTTTTTCCTAAATTAACGGTTGTTTCAGATGTGTCACGCATTTGACTCGATGTCATTGTTTCGTCACCGTCCATTTTGCGTTGTGTTTGAAGTTTCTCCTTGTTCCTCATTATGCTCTTACTATGATGATCGTCTCGGTCATTATTTCTTCATTTGTTCGTTCTTCATTTGTTAGGTTTCGCCAGCTCCGGCAAACAGCCTCAACTTCCTAGCAAAGCCCTACTCCCCTCCGCCCCGGGCCACTCACCTCAATCCGAGAGACATGCAACGTTGTTGACCTGCGAATGAGAGAGTCGTGCAAACATTTGTCCAAGTCGTTTCTGCATCTCTGTGCTCCCCTTTTGATTTCATTCACGCGCCAACAGTCCGTGAGAACTTAGAAACTCTGGCTGCCAAAAATGTTGTGTAAAGCTTGCTGAGGGGACAAAAAAAAGGGTTCGAGTTCAGCATGATGGACTATGAAAGTTGAAAATGAGAAGTCCGATAGCATAAATTAGGATGAGATAAGATGCGTTCTTTTGAGTTAATTAAGTTAGAAATGGATACTTGACATGCATTGGCCGGCCCGAGCTCTTCTTGGGCTTTCTATGTTATGCTAATTGGGCCTAAGTTGGCTTAGGGAGCTTGGTGGGCCAAGAAATTGGGCTTAATGGGCTCGGATTGCGCCGGCGGCATTGGCCGACTCTGGGATCTCCGTTGCTCAAAATTCTGGTCGCCGGGATAAGAAATTTACATTAGCATTTTATTTTGAACATGTACTAGAGTTTCTACACAAAATCGAGAAGAAGGAATGTAAGGAATTCCTTAAAAGACATAAGTATCCCTTTTCTTGTACAATAGAAAGTACCATCAATAATGCAAAACACTTGTATAACAGATATTTTTAGTGTTGAGGCAAAGTGAACATTGGAGAGGAGATGGGTGATTATTTAATAAAGAGGATGCAGGGATTTCATGGTAGTTGTTAGACATGTATGAAGTGGATGGTCAAGGGATGAAATAAGTATAGTGAGTAATAAGAGTAATATTGGAATATTCGAGAAATGAAACAAAAATAGTTGTTCTTAATAATATAGATAGATGTAACTAGGGGTGAGCACTGGGTTCAATTCAACCCCTAAACCGGCTAGTTCAAGGCCGGTGTGCAACTCGATACCTGGGCTGAACACATTTACAACCATCTTTTAAAATAAGAAAAACAAAATTATGGGCACGTGGAAAATCAAACCACGGTCTTTAACATGAAAAATCAACAATATAACCACTTATTTTTGTTGAAATCATATAACCACTTGAGCAATATATGTTATTGTAGTGAAATAATACAAAGCTTAAATATTTTTCTGAGTATTTGAGTGTTTTGGAACCGAAAGTCACAGAGTAGGTCCTCTGTTCTAGGCTGAGAATTGACCTACCCAGAGACCGGTCACTGTGCATGACGCTCATAAGCTTTTGTTGCTTTATTAACCAATTTAAAGTCAGTGTGAAATTTCGACCAAAAAAAAAGGTCGATGTAAGATTACTAGATGTTTTTATGCACGCTAGCTAATTTTATCTATATTTGTAAATTGAAGAAGTCAATGTTTGAGCACGCGTAATGCAAAGAACCTCGACCCGGTGCTTGCTCACCACTCGACGATTAAAGACATGTCCAAAATTTTAGCCGAAATAAAAGAAGAACGGTTTTGATAACCGGCGCTCCGGTCGCTCCTTAAACATCCGAGTAAACAAAAGTTTGTCCCTTTCAATTAAATGTACCAAAAAAAAAGAAAACGCATTTCATTAAGAAGTATTATTAACAAATCGGGCCACGCGTTAACAAGACCCGATACAAAAAAAAAAAAAAAAAGCCTAAGGTTTTCCAATGAAAACAATAGAGCAATTTCTTTATGGGTAAGAAAATTAAATTCATAAAAAGAAAAAACAAAAACAAACAAAACAAGGGAGTGTTGTAGCGTTCCTCTTCCTTGGGCTTGGGGTTTCGAGTTAGTTTCTTCCGTCCCTTCTTCTTCTTCTTCTTCTTGCACTTCGACGACAGGATCGCCTGAGAACGGCGCATCCGGCGACCCGGATCGCCGGCGGTCTCCGGCCGACGGAGCGGTTCTGGTAAACCCTCGACTGGGTTGCACCAACCGTATTGTGTGGGGGGTTGTCGGCGCTGAGCGTTGAGAGGAAGAGAGAGAGAGAGAGAGTCGGAAAGCTGCTGACTTGCGTTGCTCTACGGTCGCGAAATCACAACCCTGGATGGTGGAGCGGCAGAAACCTCCGTCGGAGCCCCCTCGTCCGTCCGCCACCCTCCAGCCTTCCTCAACTACTGCCGATCCTCCGCCGCCGCCGCCGCCGCCGCCGCCGCCGGCTTTCGATCCGAGCCGAAGTAACTCGATCCGAGCCGAAGTCTCTCTCTCTCTCTCTCTCTCTCTCTCTCTCTCTCTCTCTCTCTCTCTCTCGTTGTTCTTGTTCTGATTTCAGTGTGTTGGATTCAGTTTCTCCTTCTGGGTGTTTTTAGTTTGTGCAAGTTCTGTTGGATTGCCAAGTGTTCGCTGCTTTTGTGCGCTTCGTTTGCTCCTTTTCTTGTTCTTTTGGTGCTATCCATCTGGGGTTCTCGGAAAGCCCAGATCTTGGTTTTTCTTCAGCCGCTAGTGGGAGCAATTTTTTAGGGGTGATCCGAAAGTGGTTGCGGACGTGCTTGTCCTGTAGATGTTGCATCGTTCTTCCGTTTCCTTATTTCCTCTTTCATTGGTGATGCGTGAGGTTGAGTAGTGAGGAATATGTTGGTAATTGCTCGGTCGTGAAAGCAATCTGTCCTTTCGCTGATCCATTGCGTGACTCATGGTTTCCGGTGAATGGCGGGGCTCGCTCATTGCATGAATTCTTCCACTCATGATGATTAGAAACCAACTCTGGCTAGCTCATGAGATTCTGGCAATGTGATTTTTACTTTTTTTCTCGAATTTGGTGGCTCAATTGGAGTGCTTTTGTGAGTATATATCGTAATCTGATAGTGGGTATAAAAAAATTTGTAGATGCTATGGAACTATTTACTGTATAGAATCAAGGATCAAGTTCATCATGATGGCCTATTTTCCAGTTTCACGTCAAGGACTAGCAGTTTTTGAGAAGCCATCTTCCGATCGTATTCCTGGCTTTGTGTCGTTATCGTATCTCAGGTACTACTGCTCGGTACAATCGGAAGAAAAGAATGTTGAGCTGCCAGACAAATCGTCGAAGAGAGTTAAAACTAGAAAAGCTCATGCAATGTCACAACTCATCAATAGAAGCAAGTGGTCGGACAAACTTGAATCTTCTCTATCACCTCTTGCTGCTTCTCTATCCAAAACCAACGTTCTTAGAACTCTTCAGCTCATCAAGAGTCCAGCAAGAGCACTCCTGTTCTTTAAATGGATACAAGGCAAAATGGGTTTTGTCCATGATCATCAGTCATACTTTTTTATGCTGGAAATGTTAGGCCGTTGTAGAAATCTCAATGCAGCGCGTAATTTCTTGTTTTCGATTGAGAGAATGTCTAATGGAGCAGTTAAGCTCGAAGACAGATACTTCAACAGCTTAATTAGAAGCTATGGTAAAGCTGGATTGTTTCAGGAATCTCTTAAGCTTTTCGAGATGATGAAAGAGATTGGGATATCACCATCAGTGGTTACGTTTAACAATCTCTTCTCTGTTTTGCTTAAAAGGGGTCGAACCAATATGGTAAAGCATGTTTATGACGAAATGCTTAATACTTATGGTGTTACACCTGATACATACACATACAATATTTTGATTAGGGGATTCTGTATGAACTCTATGGTTGATGAGGGGTTTCATTTTTTCAAGGAGATGTCGCAATTTAACTGTGAACCAGATGTGATTACCTATAATACCTTGGTTGATGGGTTGTGTAGGGCTGGGAAAGTCAATATTGCAAAAAATGTGGTAAAGGGTATGAGAACAAAGAGTGTGGACTTGAAACCTAATGTTGTTACCTACACGACTTTGATTAGAGGATATTGTATGAAAGGGGAAATGGATGATGCATTAGCTATAATAGAAGAGATGGTTAATGGAGGTCTGAAACCAAATAAGATTACTTACAACACGCTTATTAAAGGGCTTTGTGAAGCACAGAAGCTTGATAAGATTAAAGAGATATTGGAGGGGACAGTGGGGAAGGGGGACAGGGTATTTATCCCCGATACATGTACATTCAACACATTGATGCACTCACATTGCAACTCAGGAAATCTGAATGAAGCACTAAATGTCTTTGAAAAGATGTCAGAACTACAGGTTTCACCAGATTCAGCTTCTTACAGTGTCTTGATCCGCTCTTTGTGTCAAAAAGGTGAATTTGAGAGGGCAGAGGTACTCTTCAATGAGTTGTCAGAAAAGCAGATTTTGGTAAGTGATGCTGGGTGTGTCCCTCTAGTTGCAGCATATCATCCAATGTTTGTATATCTATGTAAAAGCGGTAAAACTAACAAAGCTGAGGAAGTGTTCAGGCAGTTAATGAAAAGAGGTATGCAAGACCCTCCTTCTTACAAGACTTTAATCATGGGGCACTGTAGAGAAGGTACTTTTGAAGCTGGATATGATCTATTAGTGTTGATGTTAAGGAGAGATTTTGTTCCAGATCATGAGACCTACTTGTCCTTGATAGATGGTCTTTTAAGCAAGGATAATCCTCTTCTTGCCCACAAGATTCTAGAGAAGATGCTCAGAAGTTCGCATCATCCCAGGTCATCTACTTTCCACGCGATACTTACGGTACTTCTAAAAAAAGAGTGTGCTCATGAGTCAGCCAGCTTGGTAAAAGTGATGTTGGAGAAGCATGTTAGACAAAATATCAATCTATCAACGCAAACTGTGAGGCTACTTTTTAGTCGTGGACTAGGACGTAAAGCATTTGAATTAGTCAATCTGCTCTACCAGAATGGTTATGTGATTGCAATAGAAGAATTAACCAGCTTCCTTTGCCAGAAAGGAAAAGTTGTAGAAGCAGGTGAATTGTTGCTGTATGGGCTGAGGAAAGATTCAAGAATAGATATTAACATGTGCAGCATAGTTATGAAAGGCCTCTGTGAAAAGAGGCAATTGTCTCAGGCATTTACTTTATTTTATGAATTGGTGGAGAGAGAAAGCTTCCAAAATCTGGATTGCTGTGGAGAACTGAGAACTGCTCTTGTGGCTGATGGAAGACATGCTGAAGCTAACTTTGTTGCCAAGAGGATGCCATCAAACTTGTGGTAGCTCACAGATCCTTATTTAGTCTACATGCGCAGTTTTTTGTTGGATTATAATACCAGGATCAGTTGGCTGACGTTTCTTCAAGTATCGTAAATCTGAGTGTGCCTCTGAAATTAGGGATTGGTCCTTCCATAAAATAATAGAGATTATTTTCCTGGCAGTTGAAGGTTAAGACTGGGATGTAGCCTCTAGAGTTTTGATTCACACTTTACATTGTCACCATCAATCACTTGAATATGGAAAGGAAGGGAGAAAAGAGCTATTGAGGGCAGATTCTTCTGTATATACATTTAGAAATGACTGTTGTAAAACGTTGTACTCTTGGATAGGCAGACTTTTTCAAGGATTTAGATGCATTGAATCTATGTTCACTGTTGGTTTAGTGATGATCTTTGTATGCTATCGCATGCTTCCTTGTGTCCTCAAAGTTTTGTGTCAGAAAAAAAGACAAAAAGAAAAAGAGAGTGTATGTCTTACTTGAAAATGAGCTCTCTTTAAGATCTTTTGCTTCATTTTCATGAGTTGCTTCCTCTTTGTTGCAATCTTACTGAGAAATTCAGTACATTCAATACAAGAAGGAGACTCATAACATGTTGGAACTGAAAATTTTACCTTATCTTGTTCTCAAGCTCTTTTTCCTCTTGAAGGTTATATTTTTTAGTCCTTTTTATATCAGGCATGACGACTTGAAGTACTGATCTGCCTGGTCATTTTCAATGTCTAATTGCAGTGATAGGCATCATCAAAAGAAAAGTCTTGATAAAGGAGTTAGCGGCAGCCTACCATGCAGAATGCCTATCATATTGTCAAGAACTCTTGGATCTCCAGAGGAAATGGGATGAGGTTAGTAAATATGCACTTTTTCGCATCACCGCATGTTTGTCCATAGATACCTAGGTAGATAAAAACAGAAGTCTGTGCGTTACAATTCTTGGCGTTGTCGTTGGTTCAAAGCTTGAAATTAGAATGTGGTAATTATGCCGTAAAAGCCATTGCACAACCTTGATAACAGCCATCATTACCACTACGGATGGCGACAGCGGTGTGCTAAATAATCTGTACTGCATGTAACCTCATTGAACATTGGTGATGACGTAATTGGATATGTAAAAGATGGCATAAAGAATCACAACAAGGGCTATATTTGAGAATATGCTTGTTGTCTAACTTTATTGATTCTGATGGGTTGAGCTGAAGTGTCTTGTACTGGGTTCATCAGTAACTGTTTGGTCACCATATGATTGCATCGATTAGTCTCTATTTTTTTGTTCTGGTAAGCCAAAAAATTTGGAAGATTAAACCACGGAAATGCAATTTTACCAATGTGTAAACCCAATAATATGAGTATGAATGTACATCATATATTTAATGGATACCTCACTTTTCAAAATACCTTCTTTGCTAGTATGAACTACTTCGCTAAGCATAAGCATTGACGACCAGTCAACCAATGCTTCGCATCAAGAAAAACATTTTATTTCAAGTCATCAACCTGAAGACCAGATCCTTCATGTATCTTCTTGATCCTAGATCACAAGCGTCGCTCATCGCCGCCGCCCAAGTGATTTTCCAGATCAAAGCTTGAACATAGTTGACCTTACAGTGTGATTTAACTCGTGAGAACTGGGCACTGACCCTCATATGCAAATCTGAGTGGTCCGTGCTTATGAAATCTGCATCCCTAACGATATTGGTTGTAAAATCTCTAAATTTACCGCATATCTCTGATTTTCTATCTTTTCCTTCGTCTCACCATACTGCGGTTGTTGTTGCAGCCATACATTGATCTAAAACCTCCGGAGGATGCAAGGAAAGAACCTACACGGCCCTCAAAACGGGTGAGGAAATCTCGTTAGGTGTAGAGATCGCCATATGATTCGACGCCAAACACCAATGTGTAGTTTCACGGGTAACAGAATAGAGTTTACCGGATGCCATCTTTCCATTTTGATAGGGTAGTATCACATAACTATGAAGTTTGACAGTTTGTAGTATTACAAACGACATATCTATGTCCGAAGTAGTCCTGTTTCAGCACAAGGAGATTCCATTAAGTGGTACCCAAAGCCTCTCTGTATTTGCAGTTTGATCCCTGCCCTTCTGAAATTGAGATTTTTCTTCCGTCCTTTAATTTTTCTCAGTTTTCGCCATCGATACCCGCATGTCTCAATTTCAAGAAGATGTTTATATGATATGAACGAATATCGAGTGTAGGTACTTGATTGGAGTCTTTAAACGCGAAACAATTAACGGGCATCATGCCACCAAGATACAATTTCACAATCGAAGGAAGAAACCATGTCAGTACATATACTTGCCATGAGACTTCTAAGACTAAGATGGATGTTCGACCGAAGGAGGCGGCCTGGCGATTATGACCGGCGAACGCTGCATATCAGAGAGAGAGAGGGAGAGAGAGCTTCATTTTATAAACAAACCAATTCCATTTCTGAAGTAGTCTAGGTCACTTCTGCTTCTCTTGTGACCAAATATTCCCCTCTTATGTTGCAAGTATCTATATCAATGGTAATGATTTTACTCAATGTGTAGTTTCTGGATATTATCCATTCATCATAGAAAAAGATATGTTTACCCGGCCGTTAACAAAAAGCCAGTTCTTTTTTATTAGGGTGATACTATCTCGCCAATTGACTCATAGGTCTCTAATGTGTGTTCATAACGAACTATTCTCCATAAAATGTCGACAAAAGATCCAGCTCAAACAAAATATTTCCATTTTCTTTCAATTGAATCCGACAATTAGTTGGTGGAACTATTTACTCGATTGCAAACATTTCGGACACACCTCCATTGGAGAGAAAAGAGCCGATGATTCGGCACTGAAGATCAAAATGGATGGCCCTCGAGGAGCAGAAGAGCAATTTCACACTATGCCCTGATAAGAACAAACCCTGTGGCTAATGTTTGCAGGTACATGAAGTTGCAACTGATGCATTGTAGAATTGAAAATTCTCAGGGTCTCTATACGGTTTATTAACACAGCATGTAAGCTCTAATTGATACAGAGAAAAGAGGACTGAAGCATTTTTTGGTCCTTGTTCTTACGTTTTTGCCTGTGGAAAAGAGATGGAATAGTGTCATCTGTTAAAGTTAGTTGAGCCAATAGAGAAAACTTTAACTAGATTATCCCCATTACCGAGTCAGTCCAACTGCAAAAATCAAATTGTGTGAAAGAAAAGAGAAAATGTGCACATTAGTTACAGTCACGCGACCATAGAACCAAGAGAAGTTTCTTGCACCAGTGAACCGAAAACGTACAGCGTCACATATACATGCATCATTCGATGCATAAGCTCAAAAGCAAAACCTAATACAAGCTTCCCCTCTTTCTTGGTTCCTTCTATTGATTTCAAATCTCTGTCTATGAAGTGTATCTCTGTGGGACACCGGCTTCGAAACCCAAAGGGTCAATTTCCTGTTGCACAACTCAAGATTTCATATGTTATTTGGTACCATTTACCTAAATGTTCTTAGACTACATGTGATTAACTAGGTTATCTTCAAGGATGCCCACATCTTGTGGAACGGGCAACCTGCCGCTTTCTGTTCAGAAGTAAGTCCAATCTTTTCGGCCGAGGATCCTGTTCCGTGAACCAATTTGACAGATTCGGAGAGTCGGTTGAGCAGATTCATCAAAGCAATTACTTCATTCCGTTGCAGCTCCAGCTGAAGACAAAGGAGAAACAAGAAGAGCATCAACAAATTACATTCCAATTGACATCTAAATGATTAATCTCAGTTGCATTATGATTGGTTGAGAGTCGTGTAAGTGTGACATCAATGAACAATCTCATTCTCATCGAATAACTAGGCGGAATAAACTTAGATCTATATATATCACACATAAATGCGAACCGTACTATGGAGCAGATCGACTATTTGTATGACATTGATTGCCTACTTCTATAAGAAATAAGAGATGCTTTACTTGAAGTTTTCCTGTTATGTTCCAAATTGGCCCATCAATTCGAATCATTCAAATTGACAAAACAGAGAAAATTGGAATCATTCAATAGTAAACTGAGAAAACTATTGTCATCTATTGACTATTCTTGGTTTCCCAATTGATGTTTTAAATGGGAATGCCAAAAAGGCACCGTGAAGCATCTTAAAAAGGAGATTGAAGGTCATTTCAAGGAGAAGATGCTCACCGTCTGACGCAAGTTTTCCTGACCATCAACAGAGAAAAGAATCTTCAATGCAGTTCCAAGCCCAAGAACTTGAAGTTTTCCCCACAACCGACACTTTTCACATCCTACACAGTCCATGAGCGCACTGCAATTCCATTAAAAGAATGTTAGTGTCCCAGATGATTACACTACTAATAAGACAAGGAAAACATAAACTCAACATCAGAAATCTGGAATGACTACTTTCCTGGCTAACAGAAAATGGAGGTCACAAAAATAAGAAAGAGATCAGAAAAGAATGAGATGCAAGTGTTCTTGAGATCTTTGTGCTACCCCTCTCTGATTGGTCACTTTAATTCAATTTAAAGAAAAGGTATAGAACCTGATATTTCTGAATTGGTTCTGAATTTTCTGCTTCAGTTCAGGTCCGTTTTGGCCTTTCCACAGCTTTGCTTCATCAAATGGGATTGGGCAAGCAGCTTGAAGTTTGGAATTATACAGGAGCTGTCTCATCAAGGAATGCGTCTTCAAATCCTCATTAGGATTGCCTGTATCATATGACGCTTGTTCCAAATAATCTGCCGCCTAAAATCAACACTCAATCACCACAGATATGTCATGGTCAGATTGGAGAGCTTTTCCTGGATAGGATGACCGAACATTGACTAATAATATGGTTCTTCAAAATGAAAACAAATTTCTTGACTCACCTTTGTGACAGCACGGAGAACAAAGAGAAAAGTGAAGTACAAGTTTCTGACACGATCTGGGTATCTCAACACACGATCATGCAGCAACTTGAGATTTTGGCCCCACTGGAATAATATAAAAAGGAAATAAAATGATAGTCAGGTACTTAAAGCATAGTGAGTTCTTGTTAACTTGAGAAAGCACAATGATGCATAAAGGATGGCTAACTTCATCCTACAGTAAAAGAAAGTAGCAAGAATCTGAAAAAGAAAACGTAGAAGAGTCATCAGAAACCAAAAGGATTGACCTAGATTATATAGAGCAAGACTTACCACGTTTTTGGTTTCATCAAGAAGAAAATCTGCAGCAATGTGAACTGAAATGGAAGAGTGAAGACCAGATATCAACTTGTACAATATTCGTTCCTCTTGGCACAACTCTTCAGATGGATCTGTGAAACAAATTGAAAATTAAACATACATTATTTTCACTGTAGCAAGAAATCAAATCGGGAAGGCCCACGGCAAATATAATTGGTTATTTCACTGGAGAAACTTAAATTTAAAAAAAAAGTACTTTCTAGAAAGACAATTCGTAAGGTACAAGATGAAACTTCTGAGTAACTTCACATGCAAATTCCTTCTATGATCTTATTCTCTAATGCATAAAGTGCAGCTACTCTTGCATGCTAGCACATAAGCAACCACCACCATGCAGAGAGAGAGAGAGAGAGAGAGAGAGAGAAAGTCACATTTGGGACAGTTTTCTGCATAAACAGCATCCCAAATTCTTCTGGCAGATGGGCCGGTATAACCAGTGTAGCGTTCAGGATTGAGTTGGAGATTCACATACGTCATTTCAGCTGCAAAAGGAAAACAACAGTACATAAATCCACATGGATGCCAAATGCCGACTCCAAACAAACAACAGTTAAATGAATTCCATAAGCAAGCATAATTTATAGTTCGAACAAGCACTTCCCAGCCAAAATCAATTTTAATAGCAGGAACGGTTCAAAATAGAAAATCAGATTCGGGCCTTTTACACATGCGCATGCTCGCTCAGAGATCACGCCCCTTCAGAGGATGTGAAAAAAGGAACATAGACACATTACATACCATTATCAGTTTCATCATCATTTGTCCATGGATTGTCTGTTTCTGACCAGCCTCTAAAAGCATTTCTATCCAAAGTACGATCCACAGCAGCTTCAGGTTTTCCTTCTTGACACATGAGATCATGAGATGGAAGGATAGGATTGGATGGACGTTTAAATGATTCTGGGAATTCACTCTCCGGGCATTCACAAACACTACAATCCCGCAAACGACACATGCCATCATCTGGCCAAAAGGGGCAGTCACACCACAACTTGACCTACAAAATTATATTTATAGACTCAGAAACAGAAACACAGTAAGAATCAGAACCACCCAAAGAATAAAGCTATTTGGTGATGCTTTTCTCTGGTATTTATTTGATGGAATGAATTATACAAAATACTCTCACAATACATTCCCATATCCACGTGAACTGGCCGTATATGACTCTACATATCTGACAGCATCACTAGGCAACATTCAAATTTGCAAAAGACAGCTTTTGCTCACAGAAATGGACATGTTGACACATATAAAGAATATACTGCATCTACAAAAGAATCTTCATGCCATTAAGATTGAGGACACAAGTGAAAATATGAGGACTGTTTCCAAGAGAATGCTCAGTAATATCTCTGGCTCTCAGTGGATGACTTACCATTGCTCCCCATGGCTCAGCTGAACTGTGAGTGGAATGATGGAATGACAATTAAAAACATGATTTTGCATTAATCAGCCGTAATATAGAGCTAGTAACAAAATAGAAATGGCCTCACAAAATGTGATGTACAACATCTGAAGTCAAGCAGGTAGAAATTTCTCAGCAATCTCTCCTAGTGAGCCCATTGAACTTGATGCCAGAATCAGTGTTACTGGGATGGCGATGTATCCACACTGACTGTGATATAAGCTCATTACTCCAAATTCAGATACTCTTACCTCAGTTTTGCTAAAATTGATTTGTCCAATTGACCACACCACATACTCATGAAATTAAAAGACATTAAGATATATGTAGCGTCATTAACTTATTCAAAAACGACTTCCTACACAATTTTAACCCAATTTAGATTTTCAAAACCATAACAAATAACTTAGATGCATCATGGTATTATTTTATTGGACTAATAGTAGTTAATGTTCGCCTTCCTTTGTAATTCCAAACTACGTAAGTCCAAAAGAGAACTAGTACATTCTTATATTACGCAGTGAATGACTCAAACAAATGCCTCAATCCATACCACAACCACAATGACCGAAAAAGCATGCCTATCGTTAAGACACCACATTCTCAGTAAGTGGTGCATCCAGTTTCCATTCGGGAACCACGATCCATAGCATACAACAGTGCAGGTCACCGTTGTTAAATTATACTGCCACATGGATAATGCGACCTTAAAAGCAGTTGCTTGGATGACACCTACCGTAAGAGTACTTATTTTCTATTTGCTTTCTCATAGTTATCATTTAGCACATTCTTGGCATCTTGAGAGAGTGAACAACAGGCCAAGTACAGCATGGAAACTAAAAGAAAAAGAAATGGGTATATACTGCTAAGATGACTTCTTGATCACTTCACTTCCTTTAATAATGCAATAACAAAACCGATTTTGAATCAGCAAATAAACAATCCCAAAGTGATACTGTCACCAGACCTTGAAGTATCGAAAGAATGGGGTCTTGACCAGATCCTGGAGCAGGGGATGCAACACTTCCTCATTGAGATGGTCTACAGTCTCATATTCGCAACAACAATCCTCCACCATCCCTTTATACTTATGCTCATCCTGCAAAATTCACAAAGCAGAACAGCTGAAGAAACTGCAAATGTTTTAATCCACATCCATGCGTAGAGCATCGCACACTCTCGCCGAAACAGAGAAAATGAGGGATCACCCTCCAACAGAATACCCCAATTCGATCATTTTGAGCTACTCTGACTCTATGGCTATGTGGTACCCGCCTCTACGAGATATGCCTCAGCGAGAAAACATGGCAAAACCCACATGCAAAAGAAATGATGAGGAACTAAAACCCTTCAACAATGGGATACCAAAAACGCAAAGGCAAGCCCATTCACTAACAGCCCCAAAAATCAGAAATGGTAAATGGTTTCCTCCTTAAATACTGAAATGCGCACGAGATCGAACAAGAATAATGCAAAAACCAGTACCTTGGCACAAGGACAAGGCTTGCTGTTAATGCGCGAAAACAAATTGATCTTCGGAGCAGCCGCCCAACTTATTCCCACGGCGAGCAAGACGACGATGAGAGCACCGATTGCGCCATTGCTCCATCGATTACCCCGACCCTTCGTCGCCTTCTTCTTCTTCTTCTTCTCAATCTCCTCCCCCATCACTTCCGCACGACCAAGATGCCAAAACTCTCCAAGAAAACAGAGGCACCCCTAAACCCTTCAAGACCCTCCGCCACGCCACCCGAGAATCAAGAACACACGAAAGAGAAGGGAACTGGGTATGTCGGGATCTGATGGGTCGTTATATTTGAGGAACTGGGTCGACGAGCGAGCACCCAGATGGCCAAATTGCATTGGTCGGATGATGGTTATGGCGTGTTCAAAGAGGTGGGACCGAACCAGAGCAGGGTCTTTCTTCGCGGGTGCTGAGATGGAGACTCTGAGGAGGAAGAAATCAATGGGGAAAATGAGGGGCGTGGTCGACGGTTTTCTTTACCATTGGTGGGGAATGCTCTGCTTCCAGTCTAGAAACTGTGGGCAGAGTAGGAAGATCCCCGGACAGGAACTGTACTGTGGATCCAATCGGTGTACTGCCAGAACGCAGATTTACCGGTTTGGTTCTTGCCCGAAAAGGGGGAAAACGCAAATGGGGAAAGAACGAGGATTTGGTTGCATAGAGAAGAGAAGTTTTGACTTCTTTGACTAGAACATCTTTCTTTGGGCCCTGAAGTTGGAGGCTCATGAGAAAGGCATTATGAGGAGCTTCTTATGATGGGGGCTGCTGATTCAGGAGGACAGAACATATGCTTGAGGCCCAGCTGCACAGGCTGTCCGGTGTCTTCGATGTAATTATTCAAAAATTCCTAAACATATTATATGATCGGCTAATTCAATCCTAGATTTTTCAATTTAATCCTCAATCTATTAACGATTTGCCCATGCGTCCTCCGGCCAATTTTAACCGGAAATCTATAATGTGGCGATCCAGTCAATGTTTTTTAATTTTTCTTTTTTTTCCTATGTGGTGGTTGACGACTAGCCACAAATGAAAAAAAACACAAGAAGATAAATGAATGATAAAAAATTAAAAATTCAGGAAAAGAATATTAAAAATTGCAAAAATTGTCCACGTAGGCGTTGGCGGTGCCTAGTAGGACAGCCGGCATTCATGTCAGCAATTCCAGCCCAAAATTGGCCGGAATAACTATATTGGCAAAATTATTGAAAGGTTTTGGATTAAATTGGCACAATTGAAATATTTAAGACATCAACATCCATACAATGGTTAGAAGTTTTTTCATAATTTTTTCCACTTCATTCTCCTCCCTTGAGATAGGTAGATTACGGTGGCAAATGTGTTGGAAAAATTGTTAGATAACATGAAAAAATAAGAATAATTGTGGGAATTCTATTGAAAAAGATGAGAAAATAATATCGATGTCTGAGGTGTGCTAGTCACTGTCCTTAAAGATAATTTCGCCCCTCGGAGTACGAAACTCAGTGCGTAAGGCTCTAGCAGCTATCCTCCCAAGATACAACAGACTTTCTTCTATACACCACACTGAATATTAGAAGGAAACAAGAACAATATTATGTGTATAACCCAGTAAAGAAAGAAAAGATAGATAAAAGAAAGAACAAAGAATATTCTTTCATTTTTTATATGTATATATGTATATCACTTTCCAATTATGTTCAAAGTGACAATTTATAGGTACAAGAAAGAGTGCCGTTAAGAAACCATTATAAAGCCATTGTAAAATAATGGAGGGTTTAAGAACAATTAAATCAAACGTTATAAAGCCCTTAGAAAGTCGTTATACGGCCGTTGCAAAACCGTTACAAAATAATGGCTTCATGGCAGTCATAAATTATAACAAATATTTCAAGACTGCTAAAATATCCAACAATTCCCCACATATTTCAAAAGGTTTTGAAATGAAAACATAAAATAATACCAAGTTATTGGAGAGTAATGCATCGGAACTCGTGCTTGTTAGGCTATGAACCAACCCTAGAAAGAATGAAATACAATTCACAAAATCATTGGTGAAGTTTGAAACTTCTATGAACCAATAATTCCTTTTGTGAATCATGATTTTCACCAATCACATCACACTCCTACAAGATTTGTTGTTCAACGCAGTTTTGCGCTAATAGGTCATGAGCATGCTTGGTTTATTCGTAAGTGCTCTAGAGATTATCGCCAATAATTTTCATAGGAGCGGCCCCACTCCACACTTATATAAGTAATTCCATCAAGTGTATTCTGCAGTTTAATACACCACCAATAAAGGTTATGGAATTCATTAAGAGCTTAGCTCATCCTTTGTTTTCTTGCAGGCTTACACTATTCTCACCTTAGGAAGGACAGAAAATTTTAATAATGCATCATTATATCAACAAGTGACTTGTTATTACCCATATGAACATAATTCATGGGATTGCCAATCACATAGATTGGGTTACCATCACTGTTGATTTTTTTCAGCTGGCTTGTCCCATTCCCCTCAATGTATGGTCAGAGGATTGGCCAAAATCACTTCTGACTTTACATAATTGATGGACATAATTCCACCTTTAAGCAATTGCTTTATCATATCACATTTCAAATGAATGTGTCTCTTTTACCATTGAAAGTTTCATTCTTTACAATGGCTATTGCCACTTGGCAATCACAATAAAACATGAATGGTATTGGTTTCATTCCCTTTCCTAAGAACTTAAACAGTTCTCAAAATTCTCAAATAAATATTTTCTTCTCCTTCCCCTACTAGAGTGTAGGAGGATAAAGTATTATGCGTTTACATATATGCCTAGTAGAATGTGAGTCTACCACCCATTCTTTCACTTAGCCACACTATTGGCTTGGGAATGACCGCAGCAATTACGTCATCAGATCATCTGCTTCAACCAAGTCGACTTTTGGTTTAGCAGGATTGTCATTTCCCCCACAATTTTGTTTGGTTGATTTCCAAACTACAGTTCTCCACCAAGGTAAGCACATATCCATTATCGGATTTTGTCTCATTCGAATCTATGCTTTCATGAGCACACGAAGTTCATCGCAACCCATGGACACAATGTAGCCGACTGCCACCATCGCCATGAATAATGGCTAAAATTGTCCTACCCTTAACACACAGAGATGCAACTAAGTAGACATTGTCAACCGCTTCACTTAAAATTTATCAAAGACCAGAGAACTGTAAGCACAGAAGAGAATTTAGGAAATAGATCAGCAAGACTAAAACTTAAAATAATTCCAACTTCAAAAGGAGTATCTTTGGAAATGAAAGTATGTATAATAGCAAGCTTGCCCCTAGGCTTCCTGCAATAATCTAACCACTAATTGTGGCGAAGGCATGCCGGTCACATGCACAAGTAGTGTATTGCACGCAAATATCCTGCTGACTCTGCTTCATTTAGACTCTCATCTTAGATCTAATAATTAGGAGCTCTAATTTGCCTGAAGAATGACCATTGGTCTGCATTCTTTAGCCACACTCTCTCTTTTCTTTCACTAGCCACATAATCCTTACGAGATTGAATCCAGCATCAAATTAGTAAGCACTCTCAGCAAACCAGAGGACAAAACGTAGTCACAAAATTGAGAGAATAGCTATCAGCAAGAGCTATTTGGCAAATAAAAACCAATAACAGACAAGGATCTCTGCCCACGAAAAGGGGGCAGTCGATGCCCATTTATATAGAAAGGTGAATGAAAGAAAAAGAGCGCTCTCGAGTTATTCATAAAAGAAACATGCTTTTTTGGCTTAAATTAGTTTACAAACTTATATAAAGAACATTCAATTTCGCATAAAACGCCAAAAACAACGGGTCAACATATAGATCCAATAGTCACATGCTAGCTAATTCACGACACAAACCAAGATCACCAGAACAAAAGCTTTCACCTCAAGCTCGAACAACACGGCGAACAGAAGAAGAGCACAAATCTAAAAAGAGAATGCTTACACAAACCAAACAACCACCAGATTTGACCAACTGAAACTTCTCATCATACCCGGATTTCAGGGAAGCGAAACGATCGGAAAAGTCTCAATTTTAATGCCACAACACGTGTAGCACACATTAGAATTAAACGATCCAAACGCGCACAACCCAATCAGCCTCGGAAACACAAAATCACGCATAGTCAATCGAACAATTTAAAGATGAAAACGAAGAAGCATCGTTAATCAAACTGGAGAATTGCGTTTCTAAGGTGAAATCGGGATTTACCAAAATGCACCCGATAATCATCGGCTAGAAACACGATCTCACAAGCGTTCTCAAAGACTGCTTCCAATCAAATATCACTCAAAGAAGACAACATTATCTCTCGCAAATCGGAACACCTCACAGCCATAGAAGATCCACGCAACCAGGATACATGCACTATTACAATAATCACATGGACCTCCTCACACCAGAGAAGCTCATGTCAATTTTCCCACTTAACTTTGCCATGAGAAAGAGGAGGAGTGCATACCTGGTTCTGGTCAACGAACACGATGAGCTTACTGTAGTTGAAGAGAGCAACCCTTTTGATTTCTACGTGTCACTTGCAAGGCATTTTCACTTGTTTTGAATGCTCAGTACTGTCCCACGACAACCGGCCACAAATATGCAACTCTCGTCTTTCACCATCTCCAATTCCTCGTGTGATTCCAAAAGCGGTGGCAGCAACGGAAGTTCCAGATTGAGAATACGTAAGGCATTATCCTTAAGATTGTTGGAAAAATTGTTAGATAATATGAAAAAATAAGAATAATTGTGGGAATTCTATTGAAAAAGATGAGAAAATAATATCGATGTCTGAGGCGTGTTAGTCACTGTCCTTAAAGATAATTCCTCCCTTCGGAGTACGAAACTCGGTGCGTAAGGCTCTAGCGGCTGTCCTCCCAAATTACAACAGACCTTCTTCTATACTCCGCACTGAATATTAGAAGGAAACAGGAACAACATTATGTGTATAACCCAACAAAGAAAGGAAGAATGGATAAAAGAAAGAACAAAGAATATTCTTTAATTTAGGTTACCAAAAAAAAAAGAATATTCTTTAATTTTTTATATGTATATGTATATCACTTTCCAATTATGTTCAAAGTAACAATTTATAGGTACAAGAAAGAGTGTCGTTAAGAAACCATTATAAAGCCGTTGTAAAATAATGGAGGGTTTAAGAACAATTAAATCAAACGTTATAAAGCCCTTAGAAAGCCGTTATACGGCCGTTGCAAAACCGTTACAAAATAATGGCTTCATGGCAATCATAAATTATAACAAATATTTCAAAACTGCTAATATATCCAACAAGATGTGAGATGTGTAAATAAAAGTTTAACTTGATCTGTGTTGCTGAAGACTACACCAGTACTAATTATCAGAACGAGGCCATATGCAGGTACTGTGATCGAAGCTCATGCGATTCGGAGAAAAAATTCAGACTCCACAGAAGTTTTCTGTCTTTATATAAGTGCAGATCAAATGTTCGCAGAAGTATAAGAGATTGTCTCAGGCTTGTGAGCGGACAACATTTTTGTCGCCAACCAAGTTGAAAATCTTTGAAGGGGTATATAAGAAATGGAAGCATCGCTTTGAAAAGTTTCTGGTCATGTCTGTTCTGATGCTAACAAGAGACCTCGTTACGTAAAAAAA